GTCCACACGGCTTTTGAGAGATGTCTATACTTTGAGGGAAGTTCAAACGATCTATTCAGAGTCACCACGCCCCGCAGAATAGGCCAGAATTAACTAGAATTAAGTTGAAGATGCTTATTTCGGCCAGTGGTGGCGGGGGGGGGGGGACACCCCTCACCATCCCTCTCCAAAGGGGGAGTTTGGTAAAGAGAGATGAAAAAACCGATTTGTACCTCCCTTAAAAGTTGTCCTAGCTCGCTATTCTAATATCTATATGCAATCTTCACACTGCCGTACTCTAACGGAACTATCAACTCTATGCTTACTTCTACTCCATCTATCGTATAAAAATTACCACTACAGTCTGTTATTTGAAATAAGCATCTTCAACTATGTAAATCGTTGACTTCACGTAGAAGTAATACTAAAAACATATAGTCAAAGTAGAATTAAGTATTAACTTGATGGCAATAGGATCCGGACCAAGAGTCAATTGTATGGGTAGTAAGGAACATTTAAGTGATAATTTACGGTGTTAACAACACCCCAGTGCCGAATGATCCTACCATTCTTCAGATGTATCTGTAATTACAGCTGTTTCTCCCGCAGAACACCCCGGTTCACCAATCAGTCAGCTCATTCTATGGACTGAACTCGGATTCGATTGACTGTGGAGGTCTCTCTACGCTGTTTCGCAACTGTTTATATCACCGACGGCAACAGCAACATTAAGAAAGATTCTGCTAACAGAATTGTGAAGGTAACCACACCGGAGGTAACAGAGCCAATCTAAATCGCGGTATTAATGAACGCAATCGGAACCGGCAGCAGTTTTAGGGGGATTAATATGCAATTCCGGCATGACCAAGAATAGAAAATATGAAGGAACAACAAGGTAGTCATCAAACGACTTCAACCAGTATCGAGTCAGACGAATTTAGTAGTTACCTAACCACCGACAAACCGACATGAAACTTAAGATTAACTCTTGATCGAGAATCCATAACGGCCGATTCAAATGTGCAGCGATTCCATCTGTCAAAACCATAGAAATGTTTTATCAAAATAAAAATAATTTGTCCGAAATAAATCAGAGACGAACCAACTCATAAATTTTGTACGCGTGTTCGTGGCTAGGATAAATATTTTCCGCGAACACGGCGGCAGATGTCACTTTTGTGCTTTGATCAGAAATTTCTTTGTAATTTGTATGATCATTCATGTCGGTTTGTCGGTGACCTAACCACGACTGCTGACACTGGGAAGCTACTGTAGGTCGATTGCTGCTACTACTACCACCGGTAGGCATTTTAGGTCGAGTCATTCCTATTTTTCAGATTGTAGCATTACCCGAGTAGCATGCTGATATTGCAGACAAGATTCATCTTCCACTTGCCGGTGGGGTACTTGGCTTCGGAAAACGTCTGCCAGAATGACGCACGGTAGAGAACTTTCTTCTCCTGAATGGACAGCTTCTGCCATCAGTCAGCCTTCTCTTTCTCGCGGAGAGGCTAATCTTCGAGTGCCACTTCCTTGAAGCGGATGACCGGTAACCAGCTCGTTGAATATTATCTTGGGATTAAGTTTCACGACTTTGCCTTGATAATGTAAATACACAATCTCAAAAGTCATAAATGCTGGGTTGCCAAACTCATGGGTTGCTGAGACTGATAGATTGATTGCCATACTTTGGCACGTTCGGCACAACGCTTGACCTAGCTTTTGGCACAAATAAAGTACTCGGCACAGATTGGCATAGATTGTTGAAAATACATTCACTCAGAAAATATTCAGATCTAAATAGTATAAAAGCTACGCTAAATCACAACTCTCCCGACCGACGCTTCGGTCGGTATAAAAAGAATACGAACTTAGTATTAAAATTGTTTATATATTGTAATGTTTAAAGCAGTGATATTGATAGGATGTACACAACCTGTTTATTGGTGTGGATGCTTTTTTTGATTTCTGTCGAGTAAATAACTGATTTTGAAAAAAATAAACAAAGTGGTGTTCTCAAATAGTGGAGATATTTGGCCCACACAGATAACGTACATCTAATTGATTCCCGTAATCCACCTGGTTTCATTGTTGTCATCCATCCGACCAAGCTCAACTACAGGGTCGTAAACGTTTCAGTTGCATGTCGAAAATTTTGTCTAATCCTTATAATTTAAATGTAAAAAGTTGTTCGTTCTTTGCCATCGAGAAGGCGTTCAGTTGTAGCTCCTCTCGAACACAATTCGGCGGGACTGATTATCATAGAAGTGTAGATTTATCAAATCCTTGCAGAAAATATTGATTTCATCTTTGAAGCTAGCTCCTCAATCTTTTTCAGCCCGACTCACAGCTCCTTAAGAATATTTAACTATTACTACCGGGTCCTTATTGTTTCTTGACTGCCACTAGAAGTGCAGTCTATAGTTGGTTTTTCAATGACCGATCCACTAGACGAACTGTGAATCGAAAATGAAATTAATTGTAACGACTATGGGTGCCATTGCGATTGATATTCCCAAGTTACATTGCAAGCTTTATAGATGTTTTATAGCATTCTACAAGTCTAAATCATGGTCTACAGAACCATCATAAAACCAAAATTGTTACTTGGGTTACGTCTTCTTCTCAATTTTTAGATGTAATACGAAATATGCTGAACGAATTCAACGCCGTTATTCGATCATAGTATATTTTTTAAATCATATTTTAATCCGAACAATGTATAAACATGTCTCAATTATAAAATGATTAAATGTAAATCATCCTTTAGTAAGTAATATTTTTGAGTGTACATAAAAATACTTAAGAGAGATTTAACCCGTAAAAGCCCGGGACAAACTTTTTATTTTCAAAAATTTGTATCTCAGAGATGCCATGACCGATAAAAATGATATTTTTTTACATCATTCCGGTGAGTGGTTCTTACATTTGTTGGGTGGTACTTCCCCCCAGGACCTTCCTTTTTTTCTATATATTCAAGAATGTGTTGCCATTGGTCATATTTTGCCGAGTAGATGTGATTTGATATGTCGCTTGGTATGGTTATGAGCGATATCAAATTTGACCATACAGAACCACTACCCGGAATATCTGGAACCGGTTCTACGGTAGCCATATGTCTCTGTGATAGTCGTTTTGAGTGCCATTAATCATATTTGGTTGAGTAGATGTGATTTGATGTGTCGCTTGGTATGGTTATGAGCGATGTAAACTTTGACCATACAGAACCATAATCCGGAATATCCGGAACCGGTTCTACGGAAGCCATATGGCTCTATAATTGTTGTTTTGAGCGCCATTGGTCATATTTCGTCGAGTAGATGTAATTTGATATGTCGCTTGGTATGGGTATGAGCGATATCAAATTTGACCATACGGAACCATAATCCGGAATATCCGGAACCGGTTTTACGGTGGTCATATGGCTCTGTGGACGTCGTTTTGAGTGCCATTGGTCATATTTCGTCAAGTAGATGTGATTTTATATGTTGCTTGATATTGTTATGACAGACAATAAATTTGACTATATGGAACCATAATCCGGAACATCCGGAACCGATTCCATGGTAAGCATGTGATCTTATGAATGTTCTTTAACATTTCCGGGAGTTCCTCGAAAAAAAAAATCAATATGTTGTCGCGATTATATGTAAGATATATGATAAAGATTGAAAACAAACACCCCCGTGCCAACACATTCTTGAATACATAGAAAAGAGGGAGGGTCTCCTTGAGTGCCTTCCAGTTTTTGGCAATACGACCTCTTCAACTAATTCTTTCTTCTAATTTGTGCTAGCGCTTTCTGGGGAATTTTCCATGGAATTCCAAGTAGATATGATCCTTAAAAAGGGGTCTGGTGATTTCAGAAATGGAATTAAGCGTAAAATTGATTTTCTAGAAAGTGAAGAAGACAAAAAATATATGTTGCCAAAAACGGGAAGGCACTGTAATACTTAATAAGTGTTGGACTTAAAGTTTAGAGTTGAATACCCCTAGGCTAAGACCATTATCTATCTACCGAATCCCATTCGTTAGGAGGGATGTTAGCAGATTTGTATATATTATTCAATCTTTAGATTCGTTATTGGTTTGGTCTACAGAAACTGCAGTTTTCGATTTTATTTTTCGTGATAAAGCTATCTTAACAAGCAACCGCTTTCAAAGTAATTAAATACGGACCTCATTTCTGATTGAACTACACTTTCTAAGTTATACCCGTGCAGCTCAACCCATCTCGTTATTCAATGCAAATCGGTTCCTAAAGATGATTCATTCATAATTCTAGAGCAGTTGGATATATTTGTCACCACATGGGGGATCCCACTGACCGAGGGGAAAAATGCACCCCATTGAACAATGTTTTCCGCAGATGACGGTAATCCTGTAACGTACAGGTGCAAGCCCCACGCAGGTCGTCATTTAAAATGCAAAAGTCGTATTTTTCCTCATTTCCAATAAATTTACCAATAACTTCCCCAACCAGTTGCAAGTGATACTTTCCATGCAACAAGTTCTGTCGATGAATGGTCCATTCGGGCTTGATTGTAACGAGATGAGATAACTCGCGTATAAACCGCAACTACCCAGGGCAACCGGCAGCGCATCGCAGTCGTCGTCACAAGGGGCAAAGTGTTATTGATTTATTCATTGGCTGATGTTTATAGTTCGCTTGTTGATTTGCATTTTTTAAAGTCTCCATGGCAGCGGAATAAATGGCATGCATACTGCATCCCACAAAATGTCTCATCTCTGGATCTGATCGTTTTAATTAGAATACCCGCATCAAATCGTGGGTCATAAGTTTTATTACTGGAGGTAATAATTAAAGGAAAAATAATTGGTTTAATGGTGGAATTCACTCAATCATTCGCAAGTTAACATTCTTGAATGGTTATTGTTTTAACATCCAATGTGAGGGTTGTTTACAAGTAGCAATTAAGAACTATGTATCATTCCTAAATAAGTGCACGTCAACTTTAACCGACTTTCATTGATCAATTTTTAAAAACTTTTCATTTCAGATTAGTTCGTTAGTTAGGCTACTAGGAAAGAACCAACCAGAATAAAAATGACAAATAAAGATTATCCTCAATGCAACGGATCGCAGCCATCGGCGAATCACAAAAATGGCATCAACAACGACGCGATGTCCGTGTCCAGCTACAAGGGTTCGAAGGACATTCTGAACGTGAAATTCAACAAACCGCCGGAGAAATCTAACAATAGTGTCAGCAGTACTCAACCCGTGTCGTACTTCAAATTGGTAAGCTCCGGATGGGATTTCGGCGATAAACGTGTGGTTGCCATAATCGTTTGTCTTTTTATCTTTCCAATCCACAGTTTCGCTTTGCCACATGGGGAGAAATAAGTGCCACAATTCTGGGAGTGATATTGGCCTCGATTGCGTCGTTGGGACTACCCTACGGTGTTATACTGTACGGTGAATACACGACGTTGCTGGTGGACCGAACAATCGGAATCGGAAAATCCACCGACACAGCTATTCTGTCGATGTTTGGCGGTGGACAAGTGCTGTAAGTATGCCGGCCCTTCCGGGAATGTTTTGAAAAGTGGGTCTTATTCATTCATATCCGAGTTGTGCATAACTTGTGCTTTGAAATTAACTGGTAGTATAAAAGTCAGTTTGACTTATGAAGCATTTTAAAATTTCTACCATTATGCGTTATAATGCTGAACCACTTACAAACTTGAACTCTTAAATTGCACCATGATTGGTTGATTACGATTGTTCTCAATATGCGGCAATGGATGCATTTGGTTGAATATAATAATATAGTATAATGTTTCGTAGTATAAAGCTCTAACGTCTTTCTTGAAATCCTCGAAGTCCACGATCGACGATCGTGTGACTTATTGATCTTTTGCCAAAGCCGTCATAAATCTATGGGTGGACTCAAAATGATTAAGCACAATCTCCATTACACGGAGAAAAAATAGTACCCAAAATTTGAGTTCTTTTTACTTAATATTGAGTTCAGCCAGTCACTTGCATTCTTTATTATTGTCCAAAAAGGAACGAGAGATTGAACCCAACGATATAGTCCAGCCCAATAAGTTACTTTTGAGTAAATTACATATTCTCAAATTTACGTGAATTAAACTTAATTTTGGGTAGAATATACTTAAAAGTAGGTTTTTTTTTGCTGGTGTTAAATGGAAACTACAATATGCGATTTACTCAAAATTGGGTTATTGGGCTGAACCCTGGAATTGAGGGAAAAGTACTTAATTTTGGGTAGTTTTTCATCTCCTTATAGATATACCTTCACCTTGCTAAGAAGTAGAACAAGATACTTTTTTTTTCTACACAGAGCATTCATCATTAGTTTCTCGAGATGCCCCTAATTTTAATGGCTTTATAGAAGAAACAAACGATGACTGCAGCAACGTCAACGCACTTGTTGTTCGTATCAGTTAATGATGCAACCATATGGAAACTATCCAGGAAGTTCCAAAATATCAACAGTTCTTAATGGGACTGACATGCGTAGAATTTTCTACTTGATAGCAAATTTCTTCGCATAACAGTCCCACTGAATATTTGTCGTATAAAAATAAACTTGACTGGTGCAATCATGAAATATTGGACGGATGACTCCCACACTGAAAATCTCGATAAACATTTTTGAAAGGTCGTATATGCCTTGGTCTATTTTTGAGACACATATTCTCAATAGGAGGTATATAGTTTGATATAGGAGGTTCTTATTTAGCATCCAAAACGTCAAATACAACAGGGAAAGGTTCTGCAGCTGAGTGATTAACGATAGAGAAAGTCGATGAAGAGAATCGAACAATGCAGATAGGACCTATTGAAATGTTTATCGATTGATTTTATAATAGGTCCTATATCCATGGTAGTAATTTGAAGTCCCCTATATCACACTGGTCAGGTTTAAGGATCCCCTGACCGAACCGAGACAAATGAAATAAAACTTAGGGCCTATTTTTTGACACTAAAAAAAAAATAAAAATTCAGACATGTAACGTAAAATCCCAAACACGGACGTAACGATAGAGTGCAAATCGAACCCACAAGATATTGCGCATGCTCACATGAGCAAGCTCAATGCTCGGTTGACCGCTCACCAGTTAACCAATGAAAGGAAGGGAGGAGAAAAGCAGCAGTAGTAAAAACGCTTGCCAAATCGTTTTCTTCGTCATTTACTTTCGAGCAACGGACGGATATGCGTCGGACACGAGCATGACTGAAAATTACTCCGTGAGAGAATAAACTCGCGTAAATCATTCCAGCTCTAAACCTTCCTGCAGACGTCAATTGGCCGCAGGATTATGCATTTCGTTTTAGTTCTCCGTCCACTAAAGCAAATACAACAGCAATATTAACAAATAGTGCCAAAATAAAAGGTTATACTTTTTTGAGCACGAAAAATCATCTGTAATTTTAGATTTTTAGTTGTTTATTAATTTATTTGATAAGGCTCAAAAGAAATAACTTTACAGAGCCGAGGAATCTTGGTCACTATACAATACATCTTAAAACTACACAGCTAAAAAAAAGTAGTGTAAATTTCCGTTACTATGATGCACATAAATGGAGCGTCATAAATCATACAAATTTACATTATAAATCGTGTAAATTTATGAGACATGTCATGCAATATTCCATATATTGTATGCAACTTTCCACCTTTGTTTGCAACATTTCTTGCAAGCTGCTAGTTTACGTGAAAAGGAAGTTTACATGCATGAATGTTTGCATGCATGGATGTTTACATCACCAGTAAAATTCAGATTTTTTTAGTGTGTATAGTCAAAAGGTACAACACAATAAACGCTTTATCTTCCGCTATCCAAAAAGCCTCTTCAATCAGAACTGGAGCCGCTTCCAGTGGTTTCATTGTATGGCAGTTACGCCAACGTGGGTCAGAGCGCTTCCATTGCAGTAATGGACGCAAAATGTGGGCAGCACTCACACACTCATCACTAAACGGTTGCTTTCCAAAGTCGACGACACATCGACCGAAAGAACTACTAATGAAGAACAATGAGGAAGACCACACAATGGTTGCTGCCGATCGCGTGGCACACATCGAGAGTGGCCTGCTTTTGTCGACAGCCGAGTGAACACTGACATCCGTGATTTTCACGGAGCTGAACTTCGCATGTTTAAATTTTTTATTTGCGTGTGTGAGTACTTCATTCACCATAATAAGCACACACTAAGAAAAACTCATGAAAATTTAGGTGCTCTTAAAGTGACATATACGAGCGACAATTTTGCCAAAAAATTTCATTCATAACAAATGCGAAATATAGCTTAATCAAACGTATTTTTCGTCTAGCAACGAACTTTTCAGTCTCGGTGCATTTAGTATTACATTACATGTTTGTTTACGCCTCATCTTTTATGTCAAAGATAGATTCCATCACGTATAAAATAAGCTAATTCTAAGAGTGTGGATAGTAAAAAAAGTGTCTTGAGAAAGCGAATATTCAGTACAATGTCGCAATATGATTCTGTGCAGTATATGTGCAATCTTCGCAAGCGATTGAGGGAACAAGAAGCAGATAACACCTCGAAGCGACCAAAAACTTCTGCCAAACGATTAACCGTCAAAAAAGGATCAAAAGGACACCAGAAAAAAAAACAAATAATGGCCCTTCTCAGGGCCACCAATTAAAAAACGAAAAGAGTTAAGAAGTTAAGGTTTGTTCTCATTCAAAGATGATGTTCTGGTCATGCTTGGATCTCATAAAAATTGCTCATGATTTGCAAAAGGAGAAATATTCCAAGAAACATCATAGGCCAAACATATTTATATATACGAGATCTCGAATTTTTTTGGCAGATTCACGGAAAATTTAACAACTCGGTGATCTTAAAAATTTGGGCTAAGTTTGTGATCCCAATTTTTTAGAATGAAATGCTGATTTTTCTTAGATCAAAACTTGGTTGTGTCTAAGACAAAGGTCTTGAAAATTGTTCAATGTTCCCAGAGTGTTGTGGCCTTTGGCCTAAATTCCCTATGATGTAACGGGTGTCCACTAAAAAATGGAAATGCAAAGTATGGGACGGGAAAAAACATCAGTGAAGTTTAGTTCAAAAAGATTTATTTCATACAAAGGGTTAGCTTAAGTCTTCAAACTGAGCTTAGTCAATATTGACATACGGTCCGTGGTCCGCTGTGCCTAGCACCTTAGCCATGATATTGGAACATGACCGTTGGAGGGCTGCCACATTGATTTTCCGGATGCAGCTTTTGATCCTGTTGGTGAGTTGCTTGGTGTCCTTGGCCTTCCAATTATCCTTGTTTACCATGTAGTTCAATAGACCAAAAACCATATCGATAGGACGGCACTGCGGCAGATTTGTCGGATTCCGATCTAATATATTTGGTATATTTTGGCTCTCCGTCGTTCTTCCGGCTCGTCCAGCGGCATTGGGATTTCACGGTTTGGATTTGCTCGTCGGTGTACTCTATGGATCTGATGTTCACACTATTCACGCCTTCATTAGAGTCTTGCAGATGAGTGACTTCAAACAACGGAAATTTCTGGCCGCTTCACTTTGAATTACCGAATCCTTATTGTTGAACATGTTGTGCAGCGTCTTCTTATTCATTATCTTCGTTGGACGGCCGCTACCTCTCTTCCGGGTTACTGCCATGGATGCCAGCATACGGTATATGGTGGATACCGTGTACTTTTACGATCTTCGTTCGCTTGAAAGAATTGTACATTGTTCCTGTTTCGATGCCATGCTGATCTGATTTAATGATTCATAAACCTACACACTTAAAAAATCATGTAAATTTAGGTGCTCTGAGAGGGACATATACGAGCGTCAATTTTGGCATAAAAGTTCAATCAAACGTACTTTTCGTCGAGTAACGAACTTTTCAGTCTCGGAGCACTTAATATTACATGACATGTTTGTATACGTTTCATCTTTTATGTCAAAGATAGATTCCTTCATGTGTAAAATTAGTTATTTCTAGGTGTGTAAGTTGACATTTCCCAGCGAACGTCTGTTAGAAAAGTATTGGGATCATTCTCATTTTTTAGTGGACACCCGTTACTATAAACATGCGCCTGTTCGACTTTCAAGCCGATGATATAAGTGAACGCAAACCACGGTTTCAATAATCTAAACGTTCAAGGTTCTATCCCAGTCTGCCGCCTCTTAAAGTTATATAATTAGGTTGATTTGACTGTAATGGGTTATGTTCTTGGGATTAGGCTCAGCAGTCTTATTTAGTGAAAAAACTGTGTTTTCTATTTGCAACGTATCGGTGCTTATTATATCTTTTTCAAGAATTCTAAATTGATGGAGTTTTCTTGGGAGGAGCTTCATAATAGCCTTTATCTACACACTTAGAAATTACTATTTTTACACGAGACGTAATTCAGCTTTGACGTAAATCATGGAACGTAAACAAACATGTTTACATGCCATGAAACTGAAACACATGCAACTCGACGAAAAGTGCGTTTGATTGAATTGATTTTCTCGTCCTTTTCAACTGATTTTTATGTCAAGAGGGCCGCTTGCATGTGCCGGTCTCAGGGCACTGAAATTTACATGTCTTTTTCGTAGTGTGTAGCCTATCGAGCAAGATTGCTGCAGTTCATTTGTTATAAACATGTTTTTCGGAATAATGAAAATCATGAAATTATATGATGATATTTTGTACGTGTAAGTTCCAAGAAGAGGTTGCAAAGTGTGTGTTTGACTCATGAATCCTGTCAATTTCACTTTCAGACAGTCACAATTTTATCATTGGTGAATATTCACTCTTCATGAAGAGTGAATACTCAATGATAAAATAATCACTGCTTGTGACTTTCATGCCATCATGTGAATTCTAAAATAACAAGAGATATTGCAAACAAGATCAATTATAGCCATACTGAGTGCCCAGGATCACATTGGCCACATCCGGACATGTAGCAGTGCTAGTGGTGTAGTGGTAAGCGTGACTGCTTTCTCACCCCAATGAGTCTGGGTTCAATCCCAGCCTTCGGAAGGGAAGTAAAGCCGTTGGTCCCGGCCCATATGTGTTGAATGGGTGCAATATCCTATGCAGGTGTGGAAGCTGCCTTCCTGCACTTCTTCTTCTTCTTCTTCTTCTTCGCATTCCAAGCTTATTGCATATCGCATATTAGCTTATTGCGTGCTCTCAACCAACATTAGTGTTCTAGATGCACTTCCACAGTTATTAATTGCAAGCTTTCGATGCCTGTACCATTTTTGCATTGGTATAATTGTGTGGCAAGTCCAATCATACTTCTATGCCCAGGGAAGTCGAGAAATTTTCCAACCCGAAAAATTCCAAGACCGGACCGGAATTGAACCCAGCCACCTCCAGCATGGTCTTGCTTTGTAGCTGCACCTTTACCGACTGAGCTAAGGAAGACCCCAGCGTAAACTCCTATCAACCACGAAATACTTTCTAGCTGCTTCAACTAGAGGGATCTTAGCAGAGACAAAAATGACTGCGACTACTTTCCATCACCAATCACTCGCGACACAACGGCCTCAGTTCTCTAGTACACAGCATGTAAGATGCAGCACCAACTCCTCATCGGCCGAAACAACGTCGAAATCAGAACCGGCAACTCCAGCGACCGAAAACAAACGCGTCTTACAGAGGCCACGGCACACTTCGATTTAACTATGGTTTTCCAGTGAAGCAAAAACTTGAAAGACTGTTGCATGCTCTAATTCTAGCTTATCATTTCACACCATTTCATAGGATCTTCAAAGAAACTCTTGCACAATCTGCCTCCAATCAGAATCATCGGGTCAGCCTACCAATCGCCTTTTTCTTCGGCAGCCATCCTTTTGAACTGTGTGTTAATCAGCAACTTGAAATAAGCCATATTTTGTCGTGAGTATATTCAATTTAATGAAAAATCTGGCATAACAGGATTTCTCAGTCATGAAACTGTGCTCAGATTGAAGCTGAAATACTAAGGAATCGTGTGAATACATTCAGCGAAGTGTTTTGATGGGAAAATACAATGAAATTAACGTCTAAATTTTGGTTGCCGAAAACAGTCAATGGGTGCCGAAGCCAACGTTTACCCTATGTTATGGACGAAAAAATACATTTTATTTTGTAGCATTTCCAAAACACGTTGAAACAAACATTTGGTTCATATCATTTTTGTAGGTAAACAAACTGCGGAATCCAATGGAAATAGTTTCAAGCTAAGCCGCGTTTTCCCGAAAAAATTAAACCGACAATTTGTCACTCGGAAAATTTTTCGCGTGGTGCAAGAAGCAGAGCAAACTTTGATCTCTTAAACACGTGACAAATTGTGTTGATTCATTGAATACAACTTTGATCACTTTGGAGAATTATGTATGAGTAAATTTGTTTGATTTAGCTCAACAGCGTAATTCTGGGTTGCATGTTAGGGAAGAGCGCTACTTCGTCATAATCGCCCATTTACGTTCTATCGAGCAGAAATCATCAATAATCAACATCACCGTGCACAAATCAATCATACGTTCTGGATCAACAATAGAAAAGGGCCCATCCGCATTTATAAACAAACCGTTCCAAAGCCCATTCCTCACAAATCGAAGGCCGCCGACACAAACCAACACCTTCATCGTGTAGGCAGAAGTTTCCCCTATCCGATGATGGTGTTGGTTTGCGTGGGTGGCCTTCGCTTTGTGAGTAAAGGGCTTTGGAACGGTTTGCTTACAAATGCTGATGGGCCCTTTTCTATTGTTGATCTAGGTTTGTTCCGATCCGTTAGTTCATAAGCCACAACATAAACCCTATTACAGCGCATTGTATGAATATTTACACTCATTGTTCTCAAAACAAAAGAAGCGCTTCTAGCGAATCCATTTTTTCTACGATCATCAGTTGGACGAAGAAAATCTAATGGCGTTTCAATGCGTTAGGACGGAATTGAAACTCGTAGGACGGATTTAGAATCAAGAAGCAGTGTTAGATTTTTAATAATATCTCAAAATTGTATGACTCTTTTTCAAAACGTATGGAAAGATGAATAAATTTAGAAGTTATCTTTGATGTAAACAATCCATGTTTTGTTCTTTCAAAAAAGAGAGGCAAAGTGCGGGATGTGCTTAGTAGGACGGAAATTAAATCAAAAACCCTACCTGAAGTGATTTGATGTTCCTAGCGGAACCACGTCTGGCGTTAGATTCAATTTCTCTGATCATCTAATACAATTGTCACGACATCTTAAGTGACAAAGAGCCATTTTACCTTTTACGCCATGCAGAATAACCCTACGAAGGACAACCCCTTGGTTTAGATATAGAAAAAAGCAGGCCAACCTCACACCAAACTTACACACAGTCATGGTCAAGCAGATTCTGAACTGGAAATGTGCAATTTAAGACAGAAATAAAAGGGTAATCAAATTGAACTTTTACAAACCAGTGTCAGTTTAAACACTCTTGTTTTCGCACACGTGGTGCTAGCTAGTCGAGTCAGAAGTCCGAGCAAACCAATCAATTTCAATTGATAGTTTTCACACTTTCTGATGACGATAGCATTCATTTCAAACGCAACTCTATATACTATATATATATGTATCTGATCGATTGCAATAGGCTCGAAAAACGTGGCCAATCTAATTCAATAAAAATTTTAATCAACGGATCTCTTTCAGGGTGAATGCCAGCGCGGAAGAAAACCGCTTGGCCATCCTAGAGGATGCCAAAGCCTTCGGATTGGGCGTGTTGTTTGTGTCATTGTTTCAGTTCCTAGCCGCTGCGCTCAGCGTAGACATGATCAACCGGTCGGCGAACCGGCAGATCAGCAGGGTACGAAAGTTGTTCCTACGGGCGGTCCTCCGGCAGGACATGACCTGGTATGATCTTAACAGTGATGACAATTTCGCCGTGCGAATTACAGAGTAAGTGGTGCTGTTGTGCAGAAGGTAATTACGGAGATTCTAACAATCGTTATCTGTTGCAGTGATCTTGATAAATTGAAAGAAGGCATCGGTGAGAAGCTTTCCATCTTTACGTACTTAGTGATGTCTTTCACCATATCTGTGATATTTTCGTTCTTCTACGGATGGAAGCTGACACTAGTTATTCTAAGCTGTGCACCAATTATTATCCTAGCCACCGCTATAGTAGCTAAGGTATGTCCTTGTAATTCATAACTAGTCTTGACGAAATGGTATTAGCTAACCATTTGAATTCCTTCCAGATGCAAAGCACGTTAACGGAAAAGGAGTTGAAGGCTTATTCTTCCGCGGGAACTGTTGCGGAAGAAGTTCTTGGTAGCATTCGCACCGTAGTGGCATTTGGGGGTGAAATGAAAGAACTGGACCGATATCGCAATCGCCTTAGCTCTGCGGAGAGTAACGGTCGCAAGAAAGGTCTCTTTTCCGGAATTGGAGGCGGTATCATGTGGTTCATTATCTACTGCTGTTATGCGCTAGCTTTCTGGTACGGAATCAGCCTGATCCTCGAAGATCGTGGAAAAGACGTCAAAGATTACACACCAGCCGTGTTGATCATTGTTCTGTTCGGCGTTCTGGCTGGAGCTCAAAATCTTGGCCTATCGTCTCCTCATTTGGAAGCCTTTTCAACAGCAAAGGGTTCGGCCTCTTCAATTTTCTCGGTTATCGATAGGATACCGATGATTGATTCCATGGGAGAAAGTGGCCTTAAACCACTTTCTATCAATGGAAACATCACCTTTACGGGTGTGCAGTTCCGATATCCCGCAAGAAGTGACGTTCAGGTTTTGCAAGGATTAAACCTAACGATCGAGGCAGGAAAGACTGTTGCATTAGTTGGCCCATCAGGATGTGGAAAATCGACGTGTCTTCAACTGATCCAGCGGCTGTATGATCCCTTGAATGTATGTCTTCATAGATCGGTTATTCGAGGACATGCGATTTAATAATGAATTTTCCTTTCCAGGGTAATGTTACCATCGATGGTATCAAGATAAACGAGTTGAACATCACTTGGCTCCGATCGTTTATAGGTGTGGTCGGTCAGGAACCGGTCCTCTTCGCAACCAGTATCGCGGAGAACATTCGCTACGGGAATCCGGAGGCTAGTCAACTAGAAATAGAAAAAGCAGCTAAAATTGCCAATTGCCACAGCTTCATCACCAAGCTTCCAAATGGTTATCATACCCTTATTGGTGAACGAGGAGCCCAGCTATCTGGTGGGCAGAAGCAACGAATTGCCATAGCAAGAGCATTGGTTCGTAATCCGAAAATTCTCCTGTTGGACGAAGCAACTTCTGCTTTGGATCCAAACTCTGAACGGCGTGTTCAGGATGCTCTCGAAAAGGCCAGCCGAGGCCGCACGACACTGGTGGTGTCGCACCGGCTGTCGACGATAACCAATGCGGACAAGATTGTCTACATCGATAAAGGCGTTGTGGCAGAGCAGGGTACTCACGAAGAACTGATGGCGAAAAAGGGACTGTATTACAACCTGGTTATTGCCAGTGGGTCGCAAAGGAAGGATGAAGATGAAATCGACGCTATTAAGGAGCTTAGTCAGGTGGGGCCCAAGAGTGAGTCTGTGGACGATGATGTATGCTCGGATGATGAATCTGATTCCAGCAAGTCGGCAGAAGCGATCGTGGACGACAAGGAAGACGTGTATCCTGTTTCAGTGTTTAGATTGGTGAAGTTAAATTCTCCCGAATGGCCGTACATTTTGTTCGGCTGTGGAGCTGCCATGGTTGTAGGAGCGTCATTCCCGTTGTTTGCCGTGTTGTTTGGTGAAATGTATGGCGTAAGTATCTTTGAAACGATCTGGTTGATATCGCATATGCTAATGTTCTGTAACTGTCGCTTGCAGATTCTATCAGTAGCCGATCCGGAATACGTTAAGGAAGAATCAAACTTTTACTCACTGCTTTTCCTGGTACTCGGTTTGGTGACCGGTCTAGGAACATTCTTCCAAACGTACCTATTCAATATCGCTGGAGTTCGACTGACATCCCGGCTGCGACAGAAAACTTTCAAGGCAATCATCAGCCAGGAGATGGCGTGGTTCGATGAGTCTAACAATGCTGTGGGTGCACTTTGCGCTCGCTTGTCCGGAGATTGTGCTAGTGTTCAAGGTGCCACGGGCACACGCATCGGCTCTCTACTACAAGCTGCTTCAACAATCTGCATTGGCGTTGGAATATCTCTCTACTATTCATGGAACCTGACGCTCGTCTCAGTAGTCGCTATTCCCATAGTTCTGGGATCAATCATGCTGGAGTCTTGGTATACGGAGTCCAGTGGTCTGAAGGAGAAACAGTCGCTGGAAAGTGCGATCAAACTGGCTGTAGAAGCTATTTCAAACATCCGAACTGTGGCCAGTTTAGGTCAGGAGCCTTATGTTTTGGAACGATACTACAAAGAAATCGCCAAAGTTGATGAAGCATGCAAGAAGAAGACCAGATTGCGGGGAGTGGTATTTGCGTTGGGACAAATAATGCCATTTATGGGTTACGGCCTGGCGTTGTTCTACGGTGGTAAACTAGTTTCCGAAGCTGAACTGGAATACAAAGATGTAATCAAGTAAGTTAGTGATTTATTTGGATTTGGGCAGATATCTTCAAGGTTATATTTTCACAGGGTATCTGAAGCACTGATTTTTGGAGCATGGATGCTGGGACAGGCCTTGGCTTACGCCCCAAACGTTAATTCGGCGATGCTGTCCGCTGGACGTCTTATGAAACTACTTGACCGCACACCAAAAATGCACAATCCATCAAATTCCTACCACTCGACAATTGAGGTAGCTACGAATAATTCAGGCAGTAGGTTTGATCTAATCATTTTATTTTATTATAGAATCACGAAGGCAATATTAAATACACCAACGTTGAATTCCGCTATCCTACACGACCTACGATCCCTATTCTACAGGGGCTTAACTTGGAAATCAAGCAAGGTAACACCGTGGCCTTGGTTGGACCATCTGGATGTGGCAAATCAACTTGCATTCAGTTGCTCCTACGCTACTATGACCCAGACAGTGGCAAAGTTGTATGTATCCATCACTTTATTCAGCTACCTTGCAAATTGTACTTACCTTACCATAATTACAGGACATTGACGGCACTACGACAACCGAGTTTCAGCTTGGCCGTATCCGCTCGCAAATGGGTCTCGTATCGCAGGAACCCGTTCTGTTTGACCGAACCATCGCCGAGAACATTGCCTACGGAGACAACACCCGTGACATTGCGATGCCGGAGATCATCGAGGCAGCCAGAATGGCAAATATCCACGAGTTCATCATTAATCTTCCCAAGGGATATGACACCAGTTTAGGAACTAAGGGAGCTCAGCTATCCGGCGGTCAGAAACAGCGCATCGCTATCGCTCGTGCTTTGGTAAGAAATCCACGAATCCTGCTACTGGATGAAGCAACATCGGCTTTGGATAATCAAAGCGAGAAAATTGTGCAGAATGCTTTGGACCACGCTCGGAAGGGACGCACCTGCATCATCATCGCACATCGATTGACAACCATTCAGAATGCGGACGTAATCTGTGTCATACAGAATGGAGTTGTCGTCGAAAGCGGCACTCATGATGAACTTTTGACTCTGAATAAGATCTACGCGAAGCTCTACAGCATGCAGCAGGTGGCTTAGAAGTGCACTTAACTTGCACGTACGCTCAGTATTTATTGTTACTATACATTTTTATCTCGATTTGACGATGAAAACAGAAGACTTTACGTGCCGTAACGGATGTATGTTTTAAGTACATTCGCCCATCTAACGCATATCGGTTCTGAGGACGTCTCAGTAATAGCTGCAAGCAAAGCTGTATTTTTGCGTTAGATTTAGATTAGATGTGATATTTTGAAAACGCCTCTTTAGTACTTAAAACTTGAAATGTGTACGATAAGAAAGCTTCTATAGCCATATACCGAACATCTTGTAATCCAAATAATCAATAATTGTACATAAACAGATGTTATGAAACTAAATCCAATGTACATCCATAACAGCCACTATATTCAACGTGCACATATATTCTACACAAAACATTGAGTAACATTTTTCCAGTTTTCTCCACTGACTAAAAAAACAAGCTTTCAAGTATTCATAACGAGTTACTCAACTATTTATAAACGCAGAATCTTCAAAGTGATAGCTGTAAGAATTTCGAATGCCTATCCACTCGCTTTTGTTATAATCTATTTGTAGTTATGAAATAAACTTTTACAATTAAAATGATAAAAAAAAATTCACTTTTGTTTCACTTTATAGAGAAAATTGTATGCATAACTAACTGAAGTACAGTAGATAGACTAATCCACGCAGATACAAGCAATCCTCTAGTCAAAACAAATGAATAAATAAATTACGAATCAAATCAGTGAGATCATTTTCCTGGGGAGCGGGTTGTTAGCACAGCGGTGCTCAAAACAATGCATGAAGATGTGCACGGGATGCCGTTTAATCAAATTTGAATTACGTTGTTGTTTACTTTCAATAGTTCTGCAATAATTTGCAGCTGCAATATATTTACATACGGGAATCAAAATAAATGTAAAATCAATCACTGAAATTAGCTTTAAATAAACTTTACTGATAGCAGTGTCGTAATCGAGCTTTCATTACAAGATACTTTCAGATGTTCCCAACTGCTTCTGTTAGTCGTTACCTCGTAATATGGATTACGAAACGATGAATATTCAGACCAAGGTCATATTCCGATTGCAAAAATAAATCCGGTTCACTTTTTCCTGATATACCTATGGCGTACTCGTACCTTATCTTCCCTGGTCCATCTTCCTTGGATGAGATTTTTCTCCTGTCGTACAATGTTCGCCAACTAACACAGTTCGAGGCTGCTTGTATCCAGTTTCTTTAGCGTCCCACACTTCCTATATATTGCTTCACTTAGTCTAACCACCTAGCTCGCTGCGCTCTTCTGTGTCCTGCACCGGCCGGATTCGAAGCAAACACGGCAAGTAATCAAAAGTTCCGATAGAAGGCTATTTAAGGCTTGCTTGATGGTGGTCTATAGCATTCTAAGCAGCATGGTTTTTTTGAACGGTCCTTTTAGAAAAAAAGTAAAAAAAAGAGTTTTAGTCCTCACACCAATTTTATATCATTAGTTTGCATTTATGAAAGTTGATTCTAAAGCTAGTGTCATTTATTATCGTGATAAAGATTTTTAGTTTTAGTACAGGATTAGTATTAGTACTATTTTATAGGGAGTCCTGTAAAGTATAAGCACAGTTTATTATTGGAATAAAACAACGTTATTTTTTTCCTCTCTGATCGGGACCTAACACCACTGCGACCAGTAATTTGATCTATTCTAGTATATCCTGTGTCCTTAGTTTAGTGCATGTCGTATTGAAATATTCGATTTTTTTGACAGTTGTCATTCTTGAATTTATCGCAAGGATCCGACTCTAATTGAAAGGTTCCGCTATTTATACCTGTTCGATCACACCATCGGCGTCGAGCTCTGCCACATTTGAAAATTTATAGCGGCAGCAACAAACCCTTGGTAGCGATCTGTTCTTCAGTAGTATAATTTTATCCGTCATTCCATCTGTAGATGTTTTTGTATGTTTCCAATATTTTGCTTATGTTTTGAAAAGTAGAATATATGATATATGGTCGATATTGAATTGCTTTGTGCCGCAGTATCTAAGAGAGGACAATATATCAATGAAATAAGTTAAGTGTTCGTACTACCTCCGAGCAGGCAGGATGCCTCTCGAAGGCAATAAACAGAATTAAAGTGGTGAAATTACGATTATACAAATATACAACGTAGGGAAAGACATCCTGGTCAAAACATTGGTGCCGTGACCAGGATTGTACTTGTAGGAAGTTTATCGTTATCGCCATTATCGCCATTGTTTCATCACTGCATCTAGTGCTAAATGGAACATTTCGCCATCGTTGTTCCAACTCACTTCAATCATCAACTACTGAGAAGATGCAATGCTAGATCATATTCAGACCATAGTATTGCTTTACCAGATCGTGGATGTGCTTTTTGGATTATGGATTATACTTGGCGAAACCCAGTGCCTTTGTTGGACTTCAGCGTGTTAGTCGGATTGCCCACCGTCTCTGTGTGCCGTGGACTTAAGTGTCGAACTGCACTCTTGGACCACAGCGTCGACACATTAGCCAATCGGACCGCAGCGTTATATAACGGGTGGCAACTAAAATTTTGGAATTTCTTTCTCAAGCTGTCAAAAAAGACAAACATACTTGAAAAAGATCTGATTTATTGAAATTGAAGATACATTGTCCATTGTTGAAAAAAAATTAGTGAACATTTGAAAACGGTCCGTAATCGGATGTTCGGCGAAGCTTTCGTTTGATGTCGGAACAGGAGCGTTGTACGGCCTTCATGTCAACTTTGCGAATGCATCTCTTGATTCTACCAATCAACTGTTTGCAAATCGTTGCTCTCCAGTTATTTTTGTACACCAAGGAGCTCAAAACCCTTCGATTGGGCGACACTGAGGCAGATTTGTCGGGTTGTGGTTTTTGGGTACAAATGGGATCGAATGGGTATTCAGGAACGATTGTGTTTTTTTTGGCGTAATGCGATGACGATTTATCCGGCCAAAACACGTATTGTCCATCAGCATGATGTTTTTGTAGAAACGGGATCAAAATTTTCTTCAAACATTCGTTCTGGTACACATATTGATTGATTGCCAAACCAGAGGGCTTGAACCATGGCTTAGAAATGCCTTTCTCGGAAATTTTTGCGTCCATAATTTTGGCTGGTCTTCCACTACCTTGCTTGGGAGCAGTTGTTGGGGATCTTAGGATATGGTAAACAGTCGAAGCCGCAACATTTTCGCTTTTAAAATGTTGCCGAGATTTCTGTGCAGTTCGTAGAACTGTACAACGCGCTCGCGAAATACTTCTTGTTTCGACGGCATTTTGAGCAAAACTTAGCAAGCATAAACAAAACCGAAAATACTAGCAGAAAGAGAAAAGAGAGAGCTAACACATACACACTCTTATTTCTCTCTGAGCTCGTTTGTTGTTGAGCATAGAGGCCTCGAAAAAATTCCAAAATTTTAGTTGCCACCCGTTAGTAAATTCAGCATGGTAATGATTTCACTTCTTTTAAAATTTATTAAAAGCATTCGTTTTTGGTGGGCAGTAAATTCGATCACACCATCGGCGTCGGGCTCTGCCACATTTAAAAATTTATAGCGGCAGCAACAAACCCCTGGTAGCGATTTGTTCTTCAGTAGTATAGTTTTATCCGTCATTCCATCTGTAGATGTTTTTGTATGTTTTCAATATATTGTTTATGTTTTGAAAAGTAGAATATATGATATATGATCGACATTGAATTGCTTTGTGCCGCAGTATCTATACAAATACACAACGTAGGGAAAGACATCCTGGTCAAAACAATACCCTTCGGAGTATTGAAACACCCTCCAAAGGCGCGCCCCTTTTTTCAGTCAAAATTGGATTCCTTAGCAACAAAATTAAGGAATGACACCGATAATGACCATGCATCAGAACCCTAGTCTTAACCACTTCAAACTAGAGATCAACGAATAGAAGATTAGGAATCAAATAGATGAAGACTTACTAAATTATTTTTTCCTTGTTTCATGATCATCCTCGGTGGACAAAGCCGAGTCTTGTCACTATCAACAAGGCATAAAAAGTAACAAGGACTAAGATGTGTTCCTTGGATTACTGAAAAATCCTGTTCCCCTAGTTTGAAGTAGTCAGGACTAAGAATCGGCGGTAGATCTTACATCCCTTTACTTATTGACTTATCGGCATCGTCAAACTTCCTGACCATCACGGACTGTGTAAGATTGGTCTCTCAGAAGCGTCTTGTAGTCAAATTTGACGTATGTTTCATCGTCCATGATAACACACGCCAATTTTTCACGCCGTCCAAAAGTTCCGAGCCCTCGGATGTGGCTTGTTTCTGACTCCGTTTCGGCTTCTTGAACGTTTTCAGACAGTTTCTTGCCATGACACGTTGGCAAACAGAGGCACTGTTCTTATTTACGATAGCTTGGTGAGCTTCTGGTCAGCTTTCGGTCCCCCGGTCCTGGTTTAGGGCCAGATTTTGATGTGTCCTCGAAGGTAACTTCTTCACTGAACTTCCGGATGGCAAATTGGAGTGCTCCGATACTTACTTCCTCCATTTTTGCCAACTTCCTTACTGATAAGTTGGGAATAGTGCACCATTTGTGCAGCATATGTTTGCGCTTTTCCGGGAAAATGTCTCGCATTTTGATGATTTTGTAAAAAAATTGCACTTTACGCACACAAACTTGTATAGCAAGAAGTATAGGGTGTCCCAGAATGTCTAAGCACATTAAAAAAAAACGATAACGTAATTCTGATTACAGCAAATTCAATTTTTATTTCGTATTCATGTTCTCTATAGTATTCGCTAACAGTTAAACGTAGGAAATCTGAGATCCGACCAGTCATAAGCCAAGGAGCGGATTTTTGATCTCACGCTACTCATTCGCTTAAGCCTTTCGCAAACTTTGTAACGGAATCCGCTGCCTTTACATGTTTCCGCAAATATGCCTTGGTCAGGGCACAAAAAGCTTCGATTGGCCTGGCCTGGGGACAGTTTGGCGGATTCATCTCCTTGGGTACGAATTGGACCTTGTTGGCTTTATACCAGGCTACCGTGTCCTTAGAGTAATGAGCCGACGCCAAATCCGGCCAAAACAGTACTGAGGTGTTGTGCTTTATTCATCGTCCATAATCACGCACACCGATTTTCCGCACAGCAATTGGTCTTATAACTTCCGAGCCCTCGGTTTGACGGATGCGGCTTGTTTTTCACTCCGCTTTGGTTTCTTCTGCTTCTTAAACGTCTTTAGATCCATTCTTGCTTTGGCCCGCTGGACGTTACTCTTCGAGCATCACACTTTTTTAGCCACGTCTCGAAGCACTTTTCTTGGGAGTGAAAGCTTGCACGATTCTCCGGTCCAGATTTCGGTCAACAGGGTTCGTTTTACGTCCAGATTTTTGCTTGTCCTGGAAAGTTGCTTCATCACCATACTTCCAAATCGCGTTTCGAATGGTTTCGATGCTTACACCTTCCAATTTCGCTAATTGGGTTGTTTAATTTCGAAAAATATACCGCTTTGTTTTATGAGCCCAACGATATTTTTATCTATCCCGTAGACAATCTTCTCGATTTTTAAATCAAGATTTAAATTTTTGATCGTTG